GGTGGTGATTGTCAGAATGGGTAGAGATGGATGGTTATGCATTCTGAATACGTTTGGATTGCTGCAGCTTAGCGAGTTTGCCTTCTGGCCTCTACTTCTTGTGATCAATCAAATATCTCTTAAAAATGCAACACTGGGAAAGCTTGACATTGGCCATATAAACATTTCTGAGTTCTTGGCTCTTTTGTTCTCATGTGAATGTTTTTACGTAGGGTTCATGGAAACGAGATAAATCCCAAGAGTAGTTCGTATTCCATCAAATGAAAATGAACCTCGCAATAAGCACAGTTTGTGTTTTTGGTGCTCAGGCATTGTAAATAAATTATGTTCAGAGGTGCCAAGTGTAAACTGAGAATATTCATTCATAAATCCAAAGGCTAGAGACTATGCTTTTCAAAACTGCAAGGACACAAATACAGTTTGAGTTTTGTGGAGGATGTACAGTTCTACATCCTTGCTGCTGCTTGTCAGTTCAGTAGGGCTGAACTGTCCCTTCTCTTCCCCTCTGCCTGTGATCTGCTGTGCACCTTCTTGCAGTGCAAATCATCTTTACAAACTGCAGACATCACGCTCACTTGTTCTGTATTCATTGCACAGAATACAAGGGAAAGGAAGGCTCTGCAATCTCCTCCTCAAACTTGTGCTGTATTGTAGCTCTAAAACAAAATGTCTCGAATTTGTCTTAAGCATAAAAATTCACAATTGCCACCACTTTGGGCATTTAAGATGTTACATTGAAGATGGACAATTAAAATATGCTATAAACTCATCAGCCCTCCTATTAAAATAAATTAGTTGTAATTTTTAAAAAGGAATCTTACCAGAATTAGGTAAGCTGCAAGAAGATGTCTAAATCAGTTGTGTTAATGAGAATGAAAACTGCTTCCAAGTCAGGATGGACACTTCCTGAGAGTTGGCAGGACCATGGTCAAAAGAAACATTTCCAAACTCAATTTGGGACAGAAGGAATTCAGATGCTCAGTCTTTGCTATTTCTCTTCTGAAAGCAGACAAATTAACAAAGGTTTTTGATGCCAGCAACCCTCAAATCAAGGATGATTGAAAGAAAAAGAATGTAATTTTCTCATCTCTCGTTCTTTGACAAGTTTTCAGCAATGTGACAGCATGTGTTACTTTAATTTATCTTTATCAGTTTTGATTTTCTATGTCTTTCCTATGGGACAACTGATGGGGGGGGAGGGGGTGGCAGAAGGGGGTTAAGTATTTTTAGCAACAGTTTATGAATTCGGAGTGTGACACAGTTGTGTCATTGCACTGTGAAATTTTGTCTGCTGTGGCAAAAGCCATCTTATTTCAGTGTGGAATTAAGTGCCTGCCTGTTTTCATTTATGATTACTGACATTTAAGTAATTACTCAGTTAAGTTCTCAATCACAGAATCACTTTTCATTGAATACAGATGGCTCCTTCAACAGTCACATACTACATTTTTCTGTATAGCACTTAATATTTAAAATTAAATTTTGCTCTTTTTGATCTGGAGAGTTTAGTGCAGGGTAGCAGAAGTCCACTGATCTCTATATCTATCTATCTATATTTTTTTGGTGAGGGGCAGGGAGCAGTTTGTGCTAAGTTATCTCAACAGAGGCTCTGCAGCATTGATAGAATATGTCAGTGACATGCAGCTGCATGTTTATTAGAACTGGGAAGCCCAGGCTAGCTGCTCATGTCAGTCGTCCCCTAGCAGTGTTCTGGCTAGCACTGCTGCTCCAGGGTTGGCATTCTCTGTGGACTGTGCTACCCATGCTATTAAGGGCAAAATAGTTAAACTTGCACACAAAGAAAATACTCCTCTTTAAAGTGACGGCTGACATCAGTCATGCTGTAAATGGGATTTGATTGAAGAACACTACTAACAAAAATTAAATAGGCTACATCAGAATTATTTTTTTAAAGGGACAAAAATGAATTCTGTGAGCTGTAGTGAACAGGTTTGTCTTCATCCAGTTCTGCTTCCTCATCCTGTAACTCTGCTATGTATTTTGTCTGCAAAAAGAAGACAAAGTGATTCATTTTATTTTACTGTGGGCACCTTGTGTTAGCTTAATTGTGGTAGTTCCAAGAACTGTTGGGGTTTTTTTTTCCCTAATGTCTGAAAAAGAAGAGACAGGACTGGAGAAAGTATTTCCTGACTGTGTATAAGGCTGTGTATTTATCCATCACAGTGAAATAACCAACAAGAGGCTTCAGGTCCCTTTCTTCCTTCCCATTCCTTGTTACGTGACCCCAGTTGGGGGCAGTTGCTAACGCTGTTCTGGTTATGTGGCAAGGGAAACACCATTGTTCAAATCATGTTTTCAGGTAGCTTTCCCCTGCCCTGCTTAAACACAGAAAGCATTAAGAGCAATTAATAGACTTACAGACATCTTAAAAAAGTATTCTCCTCGGTTCATATGTATCACAGAAGTCAGAAAAATACACTGCAGAAGGTCTGTCTCTGTACCCAGGCTCATTGTTTTCCCCCTTCAGTAGCACAATTGCTGTTGTCTCATATTTCTGTTTATCAATACGTTGAAGTTATGACCCATGCTTTATTTAAAAATTGATATATTATTTTTTGACTTGAACTTCTTTTATGCAAAAAAAAAAAATGTGGTTCTTTTACTTTAGAAGGTGAATATAGCTTTTTCTTTTTTCCTAAGAATTGCACTAACCTACATTTAATTAGTGTCATGTCATTTGGATAGGTTGCCACAAATGTAAGAAGGATTGGAGATACCCACTTTGGTAGTTGGCTTGTTTCCAGCTATGATCAAACACATTGCTGTATATATTGATTCAGTTTCAGCTGACCTGGTAAATGAATTCTGGGAGAAACACGGATATCGCCTGGATCCCATATTTCTGCAGACAAGGACAAAAGTTGCTTTTTCCCCTCCAAAAAAACATATCCAGCAAGAGCTTAGTGTTATGAGCCATTATAGTAACATTGATGGGATACAGGACCAGACAAGTACAGCTGCTGTCTGTGCTACAGATTAATGTCTTTAATTAGTCTCTTGAAAGCTTAGCCAATAAAGGCATAAACATGTTAAAAATTGATATTTATGACATTGTAGTTTATACAGTGAGATTCACATCAGATTAAAACATTAACTATTAAACCAATAGCTGCAAACAGAATTGCAAGCATTTGTGATGTCCATTTTCTGAAAGACTTGTTTCTAACGGAAAACCTCTAGTCCACTGACAGCCAGCATAAAATTTTACAAATTCTCAGGAAATTATTGTATTTCTTGTTTGCTGAGGGCAATGCCTTGATGAGCTAGCTGTTTGCAGCTGCCACTTCCAAAACCATGCCTTTAGACAGGTTGTGCTATAAATCTAATGGAACAGTTTTACTGCAGTGATGTTATTTGCTGTAACTTTATTCAACTGAAACATGATCTGATTGGGAATAAAGCAAGCAGTCAAATAGATCATAATTATTGTTGATTTGGTTCCTTTAGTAACCACACATATCCTTCTTGGATACTGTAGTTTGAGATGACATACTCCTTCCAGAACCGAGCGCATGCGCTAAAGTTTTAATATTCAACCTGTAATTTAACAGGCAAGGACATAAATGCTTAGAAAGTAACTAGGAGCTGTATTCAGCTAAATTCCAGGTAAGACTCTACATCTAGTCAGTGGAGCACTTTCAAGTAGAGCTTGGGGTTCTTTGCAAAAGTCTCTGAAACATGTATATGAAAATTTACTACCATAGTACATTATCAGTTATTTTAGTATACTGTTCTAAATTCATATGAATAGTACTGAATACTATTCTGTAAGAAATGAGTTCATTAAGGCATTTTGTATTCATTTACCAATTTTTCACACATGCAACCTGAGGGAATTTACAAGAATGACTCAGTATCTTTCATTAATGTATGACTCAAATTTTTTCTGGAACACCATAAAGATTCTTGATCATGCAAATAGATGCATGTGTACTTTAGTTGAAATACAGAAACATTGACTTCAGTCTGACTACTTACATGTGAGCCAAACTGCATTACCCAGTGGGTGGAAGGAACAGCACAAACTGGAGAGGAGGAAAGAGAGAAGGAAATGGGGATCCTACCTAACTCAAAAGGAAGAAGTACCACAAGTCTCAAGAAGAGTAACACTTCTAATCCCCACCCTGTTCTGCATAATAATTCAGATAAATAACTTACTTTGAAAGCTGTGGTCCAAATTAGATCCTCGATTGGAAGCATTTTATTGACATTTTTCCTCTGTGGCTGACGTCAGATTTTCGTTAGTCCCCAACATAAAAGTAGATAAGATAGATACCCTTCAGGAGCTTTATGATAAGTATTTCAACAGTGCCTCAAGGCTGGAATCAGGTATTTCAAAATACCATGAGCAGGCAGTGTTAAGTCCCACTGACTTCAGAGAGGGGTGGAAGGAGCAGTGGTCTGCCCCAGACTACCTTTAAGCTGGGGAGGCCAATGATAAGAAATAGGCTCGTCCATCCAGAGATCCTATGAAACGTTCCCCAGCCCAGTAGATCTTGTCTCACCCACTGACAGAAGAGGGAGTTTAGGGAATCTTTGCAAGTACTCTCTTTAGTTTGCTAAAGGTTTAAGGCAAGGAGAATAGCAGACTTACATGCATTGTTTGGGGCTCGGTTTACACATATGCTCAGTTAGAGTGGGTACATAGGCAGCCTGGTAAATCTAAATCTCCTGATTTTGTGTCATGAGGTGCAATTGAAAGCTACTTTTAAAGAAAGATTATAGTTGTCAAAACACTCCAAAACACATGAGGAAAGGTGGTAGTATTTCTATGAGACATGTTAAAGAAAGTGCTGTAGGCAATGTTGCAAAATTATTTGGTTGTATGTTCTATTTTCAATTACTTTATTTCCAAAAAATGAGTGTATCAAGTGGGTTTGTCCCCAAACCTCCCTCTGTTCTGTTTCAACTGAACCTATGGAGAAAAACAAGAGAATGGCAGCTTTTGCAGATGAGACCTGCATTAATTGTTTTTTCAGGACTACAAGTAGAGGGCCTGTTTAGAAGGTCAGCCAGCATCCAGACTATCAAAGATGTTCAGAAACTCTACAATCAGGGTAAGCTGTCATCATACCACTGCCAGCAAGAGTGTGAGGGCTTTGTTGGTCTTCATTTTGTTGGTGAAGGAGAAATGCTAGCTTTCTTATAATTACTTAATCATAAAACCATTTGTAACGTAAAATATCATAATAAGAGCACTTGTACAGAAACCTGAAAGATAGCAACAGGCACTTAATGCTTACTGATTAACAAGTCAGCTGATGTCAGATCAGAGATTACAAAATCTGTAGCAGCTAATAAATGATAAGGTTTGAGACAAAAATGGTCTGTTTTTTCATAACCATTTGTTTTGCTTCTGCGCACTTTGAGTTACTGTAGTTATGAAGTACAATGTCTTTGTGTCACTTTGCTTCTGGTGTTTTTCCATGGTTATGGCAAAAAAATATCATTTTAACTAATAATTTATGAAATGTAGTGAAGTAATTTTGAAAGTCACTGAATTCCCCGTGAATTCATTTTATGAAATGCCTTTATTCAAAGAATCTCTTATAGCAAGATTAATGAAACTATGAAAAATACAAAAATAAAATGCTAAGAGTTACCAGCAGCAGAATGCCAAAAGGTTTTCTGTTCGAAATGTAGCACAAAACAATTTTTAAGCAGTAGTTTAAAAAAAAAGTAAAACATATGATTGGATGCCTTTTTTCTTATTTTCCTCCTTCTAGGCAAGTCTGTGAATTTCGACGATTATCATGATATCCATATTCCTGCTGTTATCCTGAAGACTTTCCTTAGGGAACTCCCTCAGCCATTACTAACGTTTGAGTGTTACGATCATATCCTTGGAATCACCAGTGAGTATAAATAAGTTTTGGAAAAATCTATACAGCAAGTTGAACTGGACCTGGCTAATTCATAATCACTGCAGTTTGCTAACCATGATGCAGTTGTGGGTATATAATATTAGCGCTTCACTGCAGCCATGGATGGACAGCCTCATAATCTGTACCAGAGCAAGGTGGTCAGGGTTGCCAAGACCCTGTCTGCTTTTTACAAGATTTACTGGTTTATCTATAAATCATAGTGTATTATTAAAAACTGGATCAGACTTTTCACTGTCAGGGCTCCATTTTTATGTCATGGTACAGCACTGAGTCAGTCTGAGTGATAGAAGTTATGTCAAAGCAGCTTTAGTTTTACCAGCAAGATTGATAGAATTGTGGAAGCAAAATTTAATTGGTCATTTGTATGCTTCTTTCCTTTTCTTTCTTTTTTTTTTTTCTTTTTTTTTTTTTTATTGTGGGAGGGGATTGTTTTTATTGCAGCTATTCCCATGGGATAACATATTGGGGAAGAAGGACTCTAAAGCCATGAGAATACACTGATGATCTAAAGATCTGGTGCCACATGAAACTATGAATTATAAAACTTTAATTATGTGGCCTTTGTCAGGGACTAGGAGTTCATAATGCTGGCAAGGCAACCCTCTGATACATGGGGCTTTAATATCTGAGATCCCAGAATATGTGAGAGTTAGTACCTAGTACTTGTAGAGATGGGTATTTTGCCATCCAGTCTGTAGTCAAGCTAGCAGGGAACTCATAGAGCTTCCAGTCACAAGCACACATTTTTCAAAAATCTGCTTTTTGAGGAAATTATATTTAAATGGAGTACGGCTTCCAACAGACTCTGTTAGCCTACCTCTGGTAACCATGGGCTGATGCTGTTGCAAAGTGTGTTACAATTACTGTAATGACTGTTGCTGTTGGGGTAGGGCACTAAAATAGTTCAGACTAGGGATAAATCTCAGTTGCTAAATACTTATAATGTGTAGAAGTACAGCAAGTTTACTGTACCTAGAATTGATGTATTTAGGTAAAATTCTTATACTGTTCCCATCACTAGCATCTGTGCGTACTGTTTCATATCATTAACTTTATTCATGTATTTCCATTAAAAAACTTAATCAGGTCATGTTCACAATCCTCTGAATTTCTGTTCTGTTTTGCTATTTGCAAGTCTGTAGATCACCACCTTCCAAATCAAGGATTCATCTGTTCATACAATAAATATCTCAGGGCATTGAGAAAAACAGGTCTGTTCACAGGAGGGTGGTAGTCCCTCCATTTCTAAGGATAGTCACTCAGAACTAGAAAGAATAGGGGAAATTTGGAAAAAGGATGTATAAATGCTGATTTTTACTGAATTCATCTTGCGCTGACTTTCTGGATGTGATATTACTTTGTGATAGAGCTAAGTGAAAAATGAGAACAATTCTGGAAAGAAGCTGAGCAATGCATTGTCCTAGGAACACTGGGAGGTGTTTACTGTCATTTAAGTGTTGTCAAAATATGTTGAAAAGTGGAGTTTAAAAGGATTTCTCCTTGGGATTTCTTGTTATGCAGTGTGATGTCCACTATGTTTTCTTGGTGCTGTCGTGATATCCTGATTTTAAAAGATCTTAAGCCTGAGAGCCAAGCTGGACTGCAGCAAAGGTGTATTCTCAGTGACTACAGTGTAGAAGGGAGGTTTGAAGAGGTGTGATCACCGACAGCTGTCTTGGGATGATTTGAAAATTCTCATTCTGTTTTCTGGAAGACACCAGAGCAGGTTAAGAGATGTATCTACTACATCTCTTAACCTGCAAACCCAGAAATACAGTATCTCTGCTTTACAGTACTTTGCAATGATAGTGAAACTTTTCTCTTTAGTGTCTCATCTGAAACATGTTTTTAAAGAGTTATTGATAGGAGCTGTGAAATAAATTTACTGAGTGACCAACTAAATAAAATCATTAAACCTTGAAGTTTATAATTGGCAAAGAACTTTGGTCAGGAAAACTACTAATAAGAGTTCCTTTACCCAGTATTGCTACACTTCCTGCATTATTTACTCTGCAGAAGGCTGACAAAAAAATTCTTGGGATTCAGATTATTGTGTCTTCTGGGAACTGGTAGCTTTGCAGTAGGAAAAACGTCAACACAGGTCACCACAATATAGCTTAATGTATTTAATTCAGACCCTAAGGGAACATTTAACATGGTGGAGTTTTGTGTATGCACACATACTTAAATGCACCTGTAGCTGTGTCAGGGAGAGATGGAAATGGAACACGCAGAAAAAGCATCAGCACAAATGAGCTGCTTAGGTCAGGAATGATAGTAATCATCAGACTTAAGTCCAAATTGGTGTTAAACTTCCTGTACTAAAATAATTACAATATTCAAGCAAAAAAAAAAAAAAAATTTGAAAAATTGTCGCTTGGAACAACATTTAAAATATAATCCAGTGTTAGTGTAATTCTCACCCAGATTGTCTAAATGATGCGAGGAGTTTGGGGTCCAGATCTGGTTTTGCCCGTCTGTAAAAATGAGGTAATGAACCTGCTTAGGTTTATCTCCAGACCCAAGTGGCCATCTTACAAATCTTTGCTGAGACAGTGTTTTTGAAGTTAGTAGAGTGCCAAAAGAGCATTTTGGGCAGGATTGTGTCTCAACAAGAATAAAATTAGGGCATAAAATGTAGACATCTGGAATCAGTGCATAGAGAGGTAATGAGATTCAAATCAAGACCTTTTAAAGTCTTCTCTAGCAAAAAAAAAAAAAAAATACTTTGGCTATTTCACTGAATCTACAAAATACTCTGGAAGTTAGTCCTAGCCAGATAGATGATAATACAGAATACAGTAGGGTCATTTAAAGAGATAACCCTAACTGGTATATTGGTGGTAGAGGTTAGTAGAGATTAATTTTGAAGTTACTTTTACAGATGGATATCTAAATTCCAGCAGAAATAAATAAGGAGTTATTTCTTAGTAATATTTTGTTGCTTTTGAGTTAAATTAATACTGACTTTGATACTACAGGTGTGGAGAGCAGTTTACGAGTCACCAGATGTAAACAAATAATTCAAGGACTTCCTGAGCACAATTACGTTGTTCTGAAATATCTGATATGCTTTCTCCACATGGTAAGTATAGGCAAAATTTCCAAAGTAGTGCCAGTCTTTTCTTTCTAAATACGTTATTTTTAATTCAACATTTATAATCTCTGTAGAAAATACAACTGAAGAATTTAGAAAATGTGGTGAGGTGGTTGTGCAGTACTTGCTAATGGAGTGAACTCAGGGTGCAGAATCCTCCAATTCTGATAAAAGTCAGTACTAAGCAATGGTCTGGCCATCCCTTCACCAGGAAATTCTTTAGATGTAATGGAACTACTGTGTAAATTTAAATGGGAATGTGCCTATACTGGAATATTTGAAAGTCCTGTCCCCCCAACTCCACATTCACAAAAATAGGTTCTTATTGATACAGTCTTTGGGGTTTTTTTCCTATTCTGGAGTGAAAAAAAAGCCAGAAAATGGTTGTATAATTTTTGGTGGCAAAATAAAACTAGGTGAAATCACCTTTTTTTCGCCAAAGTATAAATCTTGGGCAACTAAAACACCAAATAAATTAGTGTAATTTTAGAAAGTGTTATAAATATTAATGAGCTTTAGAACAACAGTCGGCAAAATATTTTATATTAAATCTTACAAATAACATTTTCCTGTTTAAAATAACCTTTCATCCTGTAATTTACTACAGTTTTAAATTAAAAACTTGGACCACGCCATTTTGCAAGGATTTTTGGTATGCTTCTGGATAAATAAAATCATGTGTCTTTTGTCCTACTTTTTGATTTGCTGGGTTTTTTTAACCCATTTTTGGAAACCCCACTAGTGTGGAGGTTTTGGGGAACATCCATTAATAGTTCTACATTTAGCCTAGTGACATCCTTTGGTTGCCAGTTTACACACAGGAAAAGACAGTAACAGGAGTGTAAACTTCCCCTCTGCCTTTTCCAACACATTGCCTTTTCCAGATTGCATTTTTCACACCCAGGTGCCTAAAACTGAGGATCATGGTGTTGTTGACACCTAAGTAAAGCGATACAGCCTTCCAAAGCCCTAATAGCCTACCAAAGCTATCGCATACGTGGAATGATGCTGATTTTCACCAGTGGAGGAATTAGCCCTCAGTAACTGTTCTTGGGCTACAGTCGTGTTTGCCATATTCTAGCCAGTAGCCAATTTCAGAAACAAGTCCATTTAATCCCTTTTTCTATCAGAATGCTAGAGAAAAGCAAGATTAAGGGAAACACATTGATATGACCCTCACTCAGACAGCACTTGCAAGGTTCCTGTAGCATTCACATGTTCGTTTACTGTTGCTTAGCTGAACTCTAATGCTATTAAGGAAATCCTCATGTCATTTGCTATTATTTTAGCCACTGATATCTCTCTTCAGTGTTATGAATCGTGTAAGTGACTTTGTTCCAATAATAGATGCACCATCTCAACGCACTTCTTAAGAGCTGAGCACTTGAGGTGTTAATGAGGTGTGCAAAAGTACTACATAGTGTTTTCTGTAATTGGGCAACAGAACATAGCATTATTTTTGAGTACGCCTGGTTATGTAAAGCACAGCATTGAGTTGATACTAGTGCTCAGATCTGCAATTTTTGCTGATCCATGGCTTTTCATCCTTAATGTCTTAGGGAATATTTGCATTTGGAAAGGTCAAGGGAACGTGAAACAATCTAGGAGCTAGAGATTTTTATTCATTGCAGATCGGTGTGCTGCACAAGCTGCCACAATTCAAACTTCAACAGAGCACTCTACCAATAATCCTAGTTTTTTACCTGCGAGCATCAACCTTCTTACACGTAAGAGGCAATTTAATTCTTCCATGAGCTCAGCCTTGAGTAGTGCAAGAGGTACTTGTGGTAATTTCATGAAGTGGGATGAATTGTAATCACTGGATACAGGTTTTGAACACTCCAGGTTTGATACAGGCTTGTGGAAGAAGAAAAAAAAAAAATCCCCATTTTCTCTGCAGTCTCAACCCCCTTACTTAATGAAACAGCTCCTTCTAGTCCAAAGGTGCCACAAGAAGACAGTGTTACTCCTGCAGAAAAGTAACAGACTTGAATTTAAAAAATAGGTCCAAATCCTTTAAATTTAGACTGGCAGTGATTTTGCCAGTAATGAGCCCAGCGTGCTGTGAAAGGTATAAGCTGCCCATCTCCACTTCACAGTGCATCTGGCCACTAAAGAGGGATTTGCAGGATCCTCTTGGAACTGCAGTGGACTGAGGTCCCTAGGCAGAACTGGGCAACCAGGAGCAAGAGGGAAAACAAAGGCCGGTTTTCACAAGCCAGTCCATGAATTATGTCTGTAAAAAATGTCCATGCTTGCTCAGCTGATCTTGAGAGAGATGAGTGTGCACAAACAACTGTGTGTGTTCTACAAGCCCTGCATTGCACGTGCAGTCAAGTGGATTTATGAATGCACATGCAAACTTAAAGGGCTCAAAGAAGTCTTCTTGCAAATTACTTGGCAAAGCACTCTGAGGGCTACAGTTACCCAGTTCTGAAACTAGAAACCATTTTGTAGAAAGCTATAATTGTAGTTTTCCATGACAGTCTAAGGCTAAACAATTAGGAAAGTTTGTAGAGGCAATAATATCATATAATCTGTGTTTTTATAACCATGTCTTTGGTTTTGGTACCAGCTGATATGGCCTCCTCTCTATGCTTACACACTTTCCCCTCTCTGGTGCTTATTTCTGTCCCTGCGGTCATGCCTGATGCAGGGGAAAGGTGACTGACTTGACTGAAAGAACGATTGCAAAACCTGCCAAATTCAAAATGTCAAACTCAGACCAACTAGAAAAAATGGACAAGGTTTTGGGGCCCACGGGCTTTGCTTCAAATATGTAACTGAAGCAGCAATTAAAGCCAAGTACAAACTGGAAAAAAAAATGCTCTGAATGAATGTTTTGTCTCAATCACTTGTCCAATTGAAAAGTGTAATTAGCACCAGCAAAGCTTGGGGGTGGCTGGAGATGACGGAGCACGTGGGGAAGGATTTAGATGACTAAGCCTCATGGAGCAGATACAAGCAGTTGGCATGTCTGCAAGGTAGCTGAGAGTGTGGGATAGAAACTTATATTTCCAGTCAGTTTGTGTGGGGGCGTTTTAATATCTAGTCATTTTCTTTTGAAAGTGTTTTGTGGAGTTCCTTTCAGCACTGCAACTGAGAAACCAAAGAGATGGTGACATCCTTATATTTTTAAAATGTGATGGTAATTGGCTGTTTCTGCCCTCTGTATTTTATTGTTTAAATTCATTAGGTAGTGTAGTGGCTGCCGGGTTTCACTCCTGTGGTATCCATGAGGGTGCTGGGTTGCCAGTATGTAGAATCCAAAAACTGCCACAAAACCCAAAAAATTTTGTTGGGGGGAGTGGGATATTTATTCTGGGATAGTGAAGATATGTATTTTGCATTTGTTGATGTGGCACTAAATCTTCAGCGCTTATTTCCAAAGATGAGTTTTGCAATGTACAAGTTTAATCTGTCCAGAGGACTTTCTTTCAATATAGGCTGTCATTACTTATTGATTTTTTTCTATACATGTTCCAAGGAAAGTGGGGAAAAAACCCAACAAACTGGAGCTGCGTAGTTCTTTCTTGCAATACTTTTCTGTGATGTTCAGATGATTCCTTCAAAGGTATGATCTAGGTCCTTGGAGAATTGTCTTTTATTAGCTTGTCAAATTGACAGAGCAAGTGTATTTTCACTTGAAACAGAGATAATGATTGCTAACTTCATGAAGGAATGAAAGGAGTTAAGGGGGTTAGTCCAAATGCTAAAGATGTCACTTATGTTTCTGAGAATGTATCTTGGAGGTGCAGCCCATAAAGAGGTTGGCTGGCTGCATGCTGCCCTTACATGATCTAGTGTTGGAAGGAAACATCAGCTGCTCATGATGGTGTTGTAGGTGAAGTGGATGTGTTCTTGTCATTCAAGAAAGAAATCTGGCACTGGAGTAGTGGGAGGGTTGAGATAGTGCGAAGCCTGATCCCGTTGGGGAGGGATAAAGCCATTACCACTGGTGTGACAAGGCTTCCTTGCTTGCAGCTCTTGGTGAGCCGGCAAAGATTGTTGTGGAGAGAGTCAGGTTCAGCTGCACACTTTTTCTTGGATCTGCTCAGGCAGGAATTGCTGTGCATTTTGGAGTGAAACAACATGCCGTGTCTCCCTTGAATTTCTAAGTGTCAGCCTCATTGATGACTCAGATAAGGTTTAGTGTAGTTCTGCCTCAGATGATATAATCACTGCTTCATTTTAACTAAGGGATTTTCTCTCTCAGGGAAGAATCTGTGTCTTGAGTATTTTTGTTGATCATTTCAACATTGACTGTCTCCTTGGAGTGTTCACAGAGCAGTGGTGGGTGGGAAGAGATGGTTTCGTCTTGGAGTTAGAAGCATTATTTGAAATAGTTGGCCTAAAGAAAAAAAATAAGTCTAGCTCTCCCAGCAAGTTGCAGTGGTGTTACTTTGAGCTACAATGTTGGCCTTTGAAGGCAGCAGCTAGGTTAAGCAGGATGTGTTTTAACTAATGCTTGAAGACAGCACCTGTATACATATGCCTTGCAGGATGGTGTGTGTCAGGGAGCACTCCCAAAAACTGGGGGTAGACAACTGCAGTGGGTTTGGCTCCTTCCACCCTCCACTGTTCTCCAGTACTACACCACATGCTCCTGTCCCATCACAGGGTACCTGCCCTGTATACGCTTACAGTACCTGCCTTAGGATGTCCAGCACAAATCTTTGGGTTTGTGTTACAGAAGACACAACATGATGGGATGTAGCTCTTAACATTATCTTAGAGACTTTGAACTGAAAGAAACACCAAAAAATAATTTGTCCTCAATCTACAGGGGTTTCACATGTGCAATGTTACACAGTGTGGATGCAGCCAGAATGAGCAGCTTGACCCAAGGGCCTAACCTTGTTATATTTATTAGTGTCCAGATGCCAGCTTCACTGTCAAGCTGCCTTCACAGTAATACCTAGGTCTGTGTCTGCTTGTTAACAGGTTCCTTACCATTGTCCTAATTGTTTTCCGTCATACGTTATTTTGGTAGTAGTTTAGCTTTTGCTACATTGCTGTAGTATAATGAACTCGTGTCAGCTGATCTCATCTGAAACAGATTAAATGAACAAGATGGGCTTGTTGGTTTTTCTTTATGGTTAAATAGTGCATTGAGAGCAGTATGTGAAGGTCGGCAAGTTATGTGTGATTCGTGCTTTAGAAACCGTGATGTGGATTTTGCATAAGGTCATGAAGCAGGCATTGCTGTTTAATCTGACGACATGTTACTCTCAAGTTGTGAAGCCAGTCCTTCAAAAAGGTTGTTATGGCACCAGTATCTCCTTCCTTTATCCCACCCTGCTTCATGACCTTAGAAACAATTGAAGCCTTTAATATTTGTGGCAGAAATAGCATCACAGTAGCTCTGATGTCCCAGAAGGATAAGATAAAGATTGGAGGGAGAAATAGGACCTATTATTGGAAAAATTAATATGGTTAGGAATAAAATTTTATGCTTTTGGGCACACAAGTGCTTTTCCATGTCCCTCAAGGAAAAGATTTGCATCCTGCACATGAGTCTGAAGGGCATTTTATCCCATCGTGGCTGAGCAAATAGGCTCCTTGCTAGGTAAAATACCATGGAGGGTCAGATTGTGCTGTAGGAGGTAGAGGGAATGAAACCTGTGATACCCGGCAGAGGGCAACTGGAGTTTATGTATATGCTAAGAAGTGTTCACATGATCATATTATTTCTTAGATTTTCCTCTAGTGCCCTCAGGCTTTTCAGCTTACAGAGCTGCCTTTTCAGAAGGCTTTGTGGCAAGGCAGAAATGGAGAGACACTGAGAAGTAGAATTTTTGCTTTCCTATTCCTCCTGAAATTGTAGCAGGAAGAATACATGTGAGATTTTGCCCAGTAATTCCTTGTTCAGCTCCGAGATGACAGCTTCAGAGTGACCTATACATCAGTGTGTGACTGCATGGTCTTCCCATGACAGATTACTGATCAACAACTGCAACCATCAGCCTGAGAAGAATTGGCTGAATTACCTAGGTCAGGAGGAATCGAGAGCACCTTCAGCTTGCTGGCTCTTTGCAATAACAGGGAACTTGTCAGAAAAGACACCCAGACCATATTGAGCTTTAGATACCAGCCGTGCAATGCAGGAGAGCAAAACACACACAGATTCCCTGCCAAGCTCACACAGAGTAAAAAAAAAAAAAAATACTCCTGCTACCCAGTTCTCAACTCACATCCACAGATAAAAGTAGGAAACATCACCCAGGTGCAGAACATCTTTCAGTGCTGTGTATTTTACCTACAGCCCATTTTTACCTCCATTGCTTCAGAGGAACTGGGTGGGTGTGGAGGTACTTGGAAGCGAAGTCTTGCATCATCAGGAAAAAAGAAAAATTCTTCTAAACCCTTGCAAACAGCTTAAGAAGTCCTCAGGGTTTATTTTATAGAGGACTTAGTACTGAAGCAGATGGGGTAGCTGTTTGTTTCTGCTGTCCTTCCCTGCCCCCCAACAGAGATAACAATAGATTCCATATACAGGGATTTAAAACAATTAATTTTCCTAGCATAAGGAAACAATTCAGCTTTTTGCTTGACTTATTGACATCTCATCTTGTGCTTGAGGGACACAGACTCAAGAGGCCTCATAGCTCTGGGCTGCATAGTCAACCCTGAGGCTGTTAAGCAGCCAGTGATGTACCTCTGGCCAGAGTCTGCTCCTCAAGACAAGATGGTGTCTTGCCTCTCACTCGCTGGGGCACGTGTCTGCATATACCTATTCATGTTTATGTTTTTCCAGGTTTCACAGGAGAGCATATATAACAGAATGACAGCATCCAGCCTGGCCTGTGTCTTTGGCTTGAATTTGATCTGGCCGTCGAAAGGAACAGCCTCCCTGAGTGCTCTGGTACCTCTGAATCTCTTCACTGAACTACTGATAGATTTCTACACAAATATATTCAACTCCCGAACAGTGCCTGGTGAGATTTTACCTTAAGGCTCCTAGAGAGGAAAATGGAGCTGCCTGAGGGAAAGGCCTCCATGCCTCAGACTGAAGCTTTATATTCAGGGCTCTCTCCTGCAAAGAAAACTCTCGATGCAGGGTAAAGTTTCTATAGCTTTCCAAATACCAAAGATGTTGGGAGAAGCCTGCTGTCCCATATATTCTCATCACATGGGGGTGAATATATATGTGAACATTCAAAGACCAACAGGTCAAAATGAATCCCCTTATTAAACTTGAACAGCTGACAGAAGCTTGTATGTTAAAAAAATCATGACACTACATGCCAGTCTGTCATTTCTTTGGGGATCTGGAGACCTTATGATGTGGCATTATTTTCTGCATGGGCAGAACTAAATTCTGGACCACTCCTGAATTACAGCTTTCTTCCTTTTTTTTTTTTTCTTTTTTTTTACTTTTTTTATTTGAATGCAAGTTTGTTAGAAATGTCCCTGTTAAGTTAATAAAGATGGAATCAATTTTTAAGATGCTACAATTTCTAAACTGGTTTTCCACATATTTAAGTGTTTTGTTTTACACAAAAAGGTGGGGGCAATTGTGGCACATCAGGTTTGCAATTACCAAGAAGAATATAGTGTTTCCTGGGTAATTTGAGTTGTGCAGACAGCTAACTAATTATGCTTGCAAATATCTAAGATAGGAAGTTAATCACTGTAGCTGCACATGCAAAGTGTGTGGCAGATTTTTTTCTTCTTGTAAGTTCAAATAGCAATAATCTCACTGGGGTTTTGTCTCTAAATACTTGGACATTTTCATCAGTGGAGCTATATCTGTGAGTTTATAATACAGAACACAGACTGACTTTGAGAAGAGTATCCCTAATGTTTGGGCTGCATGCTTTTGCGGTTTGAGTTGATAGAAATTTGCTCTTCAGATCGGTTTCTCGAGGAAGCAGTAAGAGCAACAACTTGGGTAATATACCTTATATAACTTTTATATATTGAAAGTCTATTATTAGTCCCAATGTGAATAATTAACCAACATCAGGGGAGAATTTTTCAGTGTTTTCTAACTACGCCATTAATATTGCTTGTATTTGATGAACTCTAACATGCTGCTATTGCATTGTTTAACACTGATTGGTAATGGGATGGTGTAACAAAGTTATCATCTTAGCTGCCTGCAAAGCAAAAGAAAATTAACCAGTGGTAAAAAAGGGTAAGTGGTATTCTCCCTAATGCCCTGGTCCTCCTGCTTCTGTACAGAGCTAAAGAAGCAGAGGGACTATTTAGACTTCAGTAGAAGTAGCAGTCTTGAGAGGATGATTTAGGCATCCCCTCTTCTGCAAACACCGAGCCACTTTTTATCCTGTAGGTTCTAGCAGGTCGAAGGTTTATACTTCTGGCCTTCCTCTTAGCAGTTACGAATCGCCTGCCTGTGTAAAGGGTGCAACAGAGTCTTATTGCTCAGGGTAAAGACGAGTCGTTCTTGTCAGCAATTTCGGGAAATAATCAAGTATTCAGAAGGCTGTGGAATGCTGGATGTGCCAGACCTTCATTTGCCCAGTAGGTGTCATCTATAGCATTAGGCAATGATTAAAATTTGAAAAATACAGAGGCTTTGGAATGAGATCTTTTAGGACCAACTTCTCACGTTGCAGTTGTGCACAGTTCCTCAAGTGTCTTAAAGACAACTTTTCGCTTTTGAATATCTGTAATAACCACCTATGACTCCCATTTAAGTATAAAATCTTGCATAATACAAAGAGAATAATTAACAAGTATGCATGATTGTTTCAGTTCAGCAAAATGAGATTGCCAGGGATAATACTGTCATGGTTTTGTAGTGCAACTCACTGGTTTTACATCTGAGTTATCAGTGACAGCATCCTAGCCTTGTTGTATTATAAAGAACAAACACAATTATGCTCAGCACTGCTCAGCGACTTGGCAGCATGGTTTGGTGCATCAGCAGTCTGTTCTTATGGGGAGGAATTTGACCTCTGGGAATTAACAAAATCTGAGTATTTTGCCACTCTGACCTTGGTCAAAGTACATATATGTTAGTTTTGCTGTCTGTAAAAAGAAAGAGCACTTGACATTAGAAAAGTGCTTTGGGATTAAATGCTGATAAGTCCTATAAAGTGGTTGTTTTCCATTTCCCCATGTCCTCTTCCAAAAATCCAGCAACATCAAATGGCATTTAGTCTTTGGGCTACACTGCATAATGGGAATGTGAATCTTGGATAGTTTTAGCACAGTAACATACAAGAGCCCTGTGGGGTGAAATCCTGAGTTCATGGAAGTCAGCTTTGCTGAAAAAGTCTCCAGAGCCTGGGAAGGGTAGTGCCTCATAGATTTAGTTCTCCAACTCATCCTAGGTTGGGAGAGAGCAGGAATAGGGCAGCAGCGTGAAGTGAGCCCTTGGGGCACATAGCTGCCTCTGACCCCTTTACTTTTACAAGTACAAGCAAGGAGCATCCTTTCAGCTAATTTGCTTGCCGGTAGTCACACCTTGGTACTGGTATTGGGGACACTCCAAGCTGCAAGTCTGAATTTTGGTCCTATATGCACACTCCTATCAATCATCAAATATTCTTTAGCAGATGCACACAGGAAGCTGATGACAGAACAAGTAATTTTATTCACTGGGTCAGTGTTGGTACTGGTATTGGTGACACGCCAAACTGCAAGTCTTCCTTTTAGTGCTTTGCAAACTACCATTTTCCAGCAATGTATAGCTCCTCTCAATTAGTGAATGAAGAACAAAATCATCTCAAGGTGCCTTCTTCCTTTAAAGAGCAGATAACATCTGTTACCCACCAGTGCAGGTAATTTGATGCTGCTTAAGAAAAGCAGAGGCCCTGGTTCTGATTGCCGTTAGCACTGGTGGGGGCAGAGTGAGGCAGGAGGGTGGGGGGCTACTGTTCCCCTTTACCTTCCTGCCTCCCCAGCAGGCAGCCTGAGACAGTAATAAGGAGGGTACTCACCTCCACCCCAGCCTTTCCCTGTAAGCCAGCCTGTCACGGGGAAGGGACTTTCCCAAATCAAAGGCACCTGGGTACCAAAACCCTCCTAGCGATGAGACCCCAGCTCTGTTCCCCCTACCCCAAAGGAACTGGCGAAATCCTCCATCTGCAGCAGAAGCCCCCAGTCTCTGTCCTGAGTGCCAGACTTAACTATGACATTAAATCAGTTCTCATGAATAATTCAGATGGGTTTGGAGTGAAATTCATGTTAGAGAAATATATGTTTCAAATTTCCTGACTAAGAGGAGTCCTGGAGGTGTCCCCTGCAGTTACTTTGATAACAGTTTCTCTTTACAAATGATAATTGCACGATTCGAGCTTTTGTACAGTGTGGCCTTGTGAACTCTTCTCTCATATCAAAGAACAATTTTCAGATCATTTCCATAGCAAAAAGAAAGTGATTATGGAGATAATCTGTTGGAAACACACATGCTGGATTTCAGTTTAAAACAATAAAATGCAGTCATGGAATAAGAAATCAAGTGTTACCTAGCTGACAATATACAGAGTATAAATTGCCTAAGCATTTTAGTTTACTGAGCTGTTAGGAGTTGAAAATTGGTCCAAAGATTAGTCTGATTTTTCAAGATGCCTCTAGCAACAAGCACTGAAGGGGAGGGGAATACTTTTCTACCCTGAATCTATGAAGAAATCTAAGAGATTGAACAATGTTATTAACCGAGGGGGGTCTTTACAGTTCTTACAAAAAACTTCCATAGATGAATATCAGTTACATGTATGCAGAGTGTGCTGTACTCCTCAAGCAGCATCCATCACAGAATCTCTCAGAGCTTTATAAACTTTAATATATTAATTCATTCATAAGGAGACTAATAATAGAAAAACCCCAGATATTTTATTTGCATGTTCAATGTGTACTTAGGTAGCAAGTTGAACTTTTAATTGGATTGATAGTACAGTCACCCCCACACTCCCCCCTTAATTTCCTGAATAGTTTGTCTTTACAACCCTGGAACATGTAGGTTTGCCAACACTGCCACTTCTCAAGTGGCTGTGGGGTTGCTGGGGCGTGGGGGAAGAAAGTCAGAGAGAGCTATTGCCAGCACCTGCAATTTGTGAAGCGAGAAGCTCATGTTCAGTTGAAGCTCTAATGGCCAGTCATGTTCCTGCTCATGCTGCTCATCCTGCTATTCATTTCTAACATGTTTTTACCTACAAAGAGAAGTCTGAAGCGAACGTACCCTGCTTTATCTAGGCACATCTCCACTGAAGCCAAAGCTGTGACTGTGAGAAGTCATGTGTTAAATGATACATGTGGCTGGTGTTCAAAAGGTGTTCTGCTTTTCCTGGTGGAGTAATAGTTGTTTTCACCATCTGAAGAGTTTGATTTTTGTCTTTGTCCATGCACATCCTGGAAAGCCACTTCAGTGTACTGCACCTAACATAGCCAAGGATTCCAGTGTCCTCCAGCATCATCTGAGGGCAGTGGAGGGTTGTAGTGGGGTGCTACAAATGCCGTTATCTTTCTTGCAAACTGAAAAGCTTGAGAAAGGACTGCCTGAACTGATAAGATTTCTTTGGGGTTATGTTGGTGATTTTGGACAGTGAACTGGCCCGGAGACTAAGAAGGAAACCTTCAAATACAACCTGAAAAAAAGCCCTTTTCCAAAGCGAGCCTATCAGCACCCAAAAACCATTACTCAGAATTGTCATTCTGGGGGAAAAGAGTCTTGGTTTGCCTCTCCAAGCTGGAGATATGCAAACACACGACTACGCAAGTTCTCCTGTTTCTTCCTAACTGGGATCTGTTGCCTGTAATGCTAGAAAAGCCATGATAATTGTGCACAGGAGGACCATAGCCCTACTATTCTGGCTATTCCTCTCTAGAATAGCTGACAGAAGTTCAAGCTTAAAAATAATTAACTGATTGGAAAAATATTTCTGCTGGAAAGTGGCAACTCAAAAAAAATTAAAAGCATTTTCTGAAGAGGCTCGGATTTGGTGCCATTCTTTCAGAAATTGTGAAGTTCTTCTAGAAAGCTGTGTGCATGTCTCTGAGCCACAGGCCCCCGGGCTCACCCAGGGACTGGCTCTGGCTCTGCTGGCCCCTGCGGTGCTCCGGCGTGGGGGAAACGAGCATCACTGCTCCCCACCCACGGTCTCTTTTGAGATGGTGTCACCTCCCCACACGTGGCATTGCAATTATCGCCAGGGGTAAGGAGGGAGTTCTGCCGGAGCCGAGGGAGATGACACACATAGCTGACTGATCATTAAAGCTGACTTTTTTTTTTTTCTTTTTTTTTTTTTTTTTGTGGCCCCTATTTCTCCGTGGTGCAATCATCGTGCAGTAACTGCTTTCCAGCCTGGCGGGCTGTCTGTAGTCCCCGGCGCACGAGCCTGTCGCTCCCAGTGTTAGGGCTTGTGCCCGTGGGTAGTGGGGAGCAACTGGACCCGATCCCTGACCCAAACGGCTGGGCGGGGAGCAAAACTGCAGGCTGCAATGTGGAAACATGCTCCTTCCAAACACAGCTCAGTCTATTACCTGCTTCATTTTCTTTTGCTTCAATCCTCAAAAACTTACTCATTTAAGCTAGCGCTAGCCCAGACACTAATGCCAACCTCCTCATGCCTAATAGGAAGTCAGGATTTCTACCTTTTTGGTTTCTTTCTCTATTACATGGTTTGTGTTTCCCAATACTGAATTGTACTCTCAAATTATTTCTGCACTTCAACCTTTAATTGCCCACAAAAGCAGTTTACAGCCTCTTACTCTTCTGCCATGAAAATTATCCCCTTAATTAATGGGACAATAAAAAGCAACTGTAAAACGCACCAAACTGCATCATCTTTAGTGTCTGAACTGGATTTCTGCAGCAGTCATGGAAG